TTTAACTGGTTGGCGATGGTATTATTATTTGTAGGGAGGCTGTTTTTGTAGGGTTTTTTAGTGACACTGGGGGAGTGAGGTGTTTGAATTGTTTGGGAAAAATTATGGTGGGTGTAATTTTGAGGATCTCGGGGTATGCAATTTAGTAAGGCGAGGTGAAATGGGCGGTTTATGGTTTAGAGATTCTGCTAGTGACCTTTTAATGTTTACCTGCCGCGGTGGTTTGATGTTTTTGTTTGTTTGTTTGGTTTGTTTTTGGGTGGTTCGCTCTTGTAACAAGGTGGGGTGCGATGGTGTGGTCTCCGTTCATTTGGCCTCACGCACTACTGGTTTGTTGCATTCTTCTTCCTCGGCCTCCTGATTAGCTGGTTTACAGCACCGCCACCATGCCTGCTAGGTTCTGTATTTTGTGATACTGAGTTTCCCTTGGTGCCAGGTGGTCTCCCATCCTTGGCCTCGTATCCACCCGCCGTCGCCTCCCAAGTGCTGGGAGTACAGGCGTGCTTGCGCACGCGCCTTGCCCTAAAGTGTGTTTTAATTCTCTGTGCTCCAGGAAAATCGTGCGTATTTGAGTGATCTGTGATTAATGAACCAGAGTACTGAGAGACAGGCCATGCTTGGTTGATTGTTCCATCGAAGTACTCTTGTACTATTTTATGATCCTATTCCTTCCGGCCATAATTTGTAGAAGAAGAAGTAAGATATGAGCAATCTCCTTTTGAGATTAAGATGAACCACAACAGATAGATAGTAGGGGACTAGTTGGAGTCTGGGCGTGGTAGCTCATGCCGATGACTCTATGCACTTGGAGGCTGAGCACAGCGAGCTCACTAGGTCAGAGTTTAGAGACCAGCCTGACAACGTGTGAAACCAGTTTCTACTAAAAATGCAAAAATTAGTTGGCCTGGTGGTGTACGTCCTGTAATCTCAGCTATTCCAGAGGCGAGGTGGGAGAACCGCTTGAACCTGGGAGGCGGAGGTGGCAGTGAGCCAAGATCGCAACACTGTACTCCAGGCTAGGCGACAGAGCAAGGACTCCATCTCAAAAGCAAAAAAAAAAAAGGGCCGAGCGCGGTGGCTCACACTCTGTAATCCCACGCACTTTGGGAGGCCGAGAGGTGGATGGATCATGAGAGTCAGAAGATTGAAACAATTCCTGGCTAACATGGTGTAAACCTTGCCCTCTACGGAAAATACGGAAGTGTTAGCTGGGCATGGTAGGCACATGCCTGCTAGTCCGAGCTACTTGGGAGGCTGAAGCAAGAAGAATCGCTTGACCCAGGAGGTGGAGGTTGCAGTGAGCCAAGATTTCGCCACTGCACTTCAGCCTGGGAAACAGAGCGAGACTCCGACTCAAAAAAAGAAAGAATAATAGGGACTAGTTGGAAAGCTAAATTGATTGTTTAGATTACTGAAAGTTGGAAAAGACAATTGAGTTTTTCACATAACTAAAACCTTATAGAAAACTTGCTAAATTAATGAATAGGTAAGAATAATTTATATTTAGTATTATTGAAGCACTAACCTAAGCAATTCTTATTTCAACAGAAATTACAGGTTAATTATAAATAGATATTAAAATGCTTTGGAAATATACTTCCCATTATTTGGTTCCCTTTAGAGATGGGGTCTCACTGTGTTGCCCAGGCTGGAATCAAAGTCCTGGGCTCAAGTAATTGTACTGACACAACTTCTTGAGTAGTTGGGAATGCAGGTGTACACCACCACCACACTGGCTCAGGAATGTTTTTTTAAATAGATATATATTGCACTCTCAAGGCCGGGCGCGGTGGCTCAAGTCTGTAATCCCAGCACTTTGGGAGGCCGAGGCGGGTGGATCACGAGGTCGAGAGATCGAGACTATCCTGGTCAACATGGTGAAACCCCGTCTCTACTAAAAATACAAAAAACTAGCTGGGCGTGGTGGCGCCTGCGTGTAATCCCAGCTACTTAGGAGGCTGAGACAGGAGAATTGCCTGAGCCCAGGAGGCGGAGGTTGCGTTGAGCCGAGATCGTGCCATTGCACTCCAGCCTGGGTAACAAGAGTGAAACTCCGTCTCAAAAAAAAAAAAAAAAGATATATATTGCACTCTCCTTCTTTGGGCCTCTTACCTGTAAAAGTGAGCCAGATTTTTGCTTTTCAAGCTTTAATGTGTGTGAAGATCACGAGTATTGTTAAAAGGTGGAATTTTGCCTCAGTGGAAATGTGAATTTCCAGCAAGCTTCCTGGTAATGCTGATTTGTGTGGTCTACCAAACATTCTTTGAATAGCAAGGAGCTATTTGTTTCTATTTCTCCATGTTCAACATAGAATTTGGTAATGTCTAGCCAGGGCTCCGTGGCACATGCCTGCAGTCCCAGCTACTTGAGAGGCTGAGGTGGGAGGATTGCTGGAGCCCAGGAGTTCAAGCCTAGCCTGGACAACATAGGGAGACCCTGTCTCTTGGGAGGGGGGGAAATTAGCAAAATCTTGCTAATTCCAATTGTTGTACTGAGACAAAGGATAAAATGAAGTTTATCTTTTATAGTCAAGACTTTTTGGTTGAAAGGAATAGAACTCAGTTTAAACTAAGAAAAATAGGAAGATTGTTATAACAAAACGAGAAAAAGAATATGAGAGACAATCTCACTGGCATTTATGAGCAAGAAATATAGCTAGGCATCAGGGAAAGTGGAATGTTAGGAATCAACAAGTAGGTTAGCTGTATTTCCCAGTTCTGCTTCTCTGGGTTTCTGTTCCAACCTCGCCTATTTTCTGGTACATGTATGTCTTTGGCTTACCACTTTGGCTTACTGTGGCCTCCACTCTTTAACCTTTTAGCTCCAAGTCCCAATATCCCTTGACAACCGGTATCTCCTTTAGTTCAAATTATCAAGAGAAAATCTGGTCAGCCAGTAATAATTTGTTTCTACTTGGATCAGGTGTCCAACCTGTGTTTGGAAGGGTAGAATGTAAGAATAGGGGCTACTGAGATTGGCCCCTTTATGGGACAAGGGAAGGGAGATGGGGTAGAGCAGCAATGATAGCTGTCTAATGCACATTTATAAACTTTTATGAAGAAGGATTTGCTAAATTAGTATAGTATAGGCAGTTTAATACTTTTAGGTTATTTCATAAAAGCATGTATGAAAGCCACATGGGCAGTAGTTGAATTCATTCTTAGGGAACTAAAAGTAATAAATCTGAATAATAGTGTACATATTTTTACATCCTCTTGGTATTATCAATGTATACAAGGGATAATGATAAATGTAGGCAATAAAAATTGAGTCACCCATTCCTACCTCTTTCCCAGAGAACACAATGTAAAGCTATCCTGGCCTCCACACTATTAACCAGTTCCTGACAAAACAGGAACTTTCTTCTACTCACTGTTTCCTGGATCTCATTCCATACTTTTATCTTTCATGTTATTTTTTAAAGATAATACTGAGATTACCTTTTGAGGAACTACAAATATTCTCCCACTGTTGGAGTTGCAGAGCTACCCAGAACATTTGAGATTCAAGTTTATATTCTGATGCCTTTGGTATAAAGAGAAAGTATAACATTTTTTCAGTTGCATTTGTGAATATCTATGTTCTTTTTTTTTTTTTTTTTTTTTTTAATTGAGATGGAGTTTCGCTCTTGTTACCCAGGCTGGAGTGCAATGGCACGATCTCGGCTCACCACAACCTCCACCTCCTGGGTTCAGGCAATTCTCCTGCCTCAGCCTCCTGAGTAGCTGGGATTACAGGCACACGCCACCATGCCCAGCTAATTTTTTTTGTATTTTTAGTAGAGACGGGGTTTCACCATGTTGACCAGGTTGGTCTCGATCTCTCGACCTCGTGATCCACCCGCCTCGGCCTCCCAAAGTGCTGGGATTACAGGCTTGAGCCACTGCGCCCGGCCAATATCTATGTTCTTAAACAGTTGAAGTAATTGCCAAATTACCTCATTTTTCCAAAGGAGCCATTTTGTCTATGCTGTTGGCTCCCAGTATAGAAATATGAAATTGACAGTATGTGATAAAATTTCGAGCATTTAGAACAATGTTCTTTTTTTCGCCATCTCATTCCCTAGTAATCTATACTTCAAAAAATATTACTGCCATGGAAAGTTGCCCAAGCCAGAAACTTAGATATAATCCTTTATTCCTTTCTCCTCACCCACCATACCAATCCATTGAAAAGTCCTGCTGAGACTATCTCTTGAACATATCTAACCTGTCCACTCTATCCATCTTTTCTTTCCTCACCTTAGCCAATGTGCCAAGTCACCTGCCACTCTCACCTGTGCCACTGCAATGGCCTCCTGATCTTTCTGCCTCCCCTCTCGCTTCCTTATTCCCCTTTGGTTTATCAGTAAGTCAATGATACAGATTCTGGTGTTCCACTTTTTCATACTTCTAAAATGGAGATGTCTCCAAAAGTAATGTATCCAGTTAATAAACTTCAAGTACTGTATAGTGCTTAAGTTTAATGTCACATGATTTTAGGCAAAAGTGGGCACCATTTTCTGGAAGGAAAGCATTTACAGAAATTACTTGCTGGCATGTCTTCCTTTATTTTGTTTTGTTTTGTTTTTTTGAGGTGGAGTTTTGCTCCTGTTACCCAGGCTGGAGTGCAATGGTACGATCTCAGCTCACTGCAACCTCTGCCTCCTGGGTTCAAGCGATTCTCCTGCTTCAGCCTCCCAAGTAGCTAGGACTACAGGCACCTGCCACCACACCCAGCTAATTTTGTATTTTTAGTAGAGACAGGGTTTCTCCATGTTGGTCAGAATGGTCTCCAACTCCTGACCTCAGGTGATATGTCCACCTTGGCCTCCCAAAATAATGGGATTACAGTCATGAGCCCCCACCCTGCCCAGCCATCTTCCTTTATATTTATCTTAATTATGCCTTTTTTTTTCTTCCAGAAAAATCCTGGGTAGAAGCTGGATCAGCAAGAATGTCACTCCTTATATTGGTGTCCATTTTCTTATCTGCAGCTTTTGTTATGTTTTTGGTATATAAAAATTTTCCTCAGCTTAGCGAGTAAGTATACTGAGAGATAAACTGAAAATGTTTGTTTGTTTGTTTGTTTATTTATTTATTTATTTATTTATTTATTTTAGAGATGGGGTCTTGCCGTGTTGCCCAGACTGGAGTGTAGTGGCTGTTCACAGGCGCAATACCACTGCTGATCAGCAAGGGAGTTTTGACCTGCTCCATTTCTGACCTGGGCTGGTTCACCCTTTCTTAGGCAACCTGGTGGTCCCTGGCTCCCAGGAGGTCACCATATTGATGCCAAACTTGGTGTAGACACCCAATCAGCATAGTGCACTACAGCCCAGAACTCCTGGGCTCAAGCGATCCTCCCACCTCAGCCTCCGAGTAGCTGGGACTACAGGCACGTGCCACCACGCCCAGTATGTATATTTATAAGATGAAAGTGAATTAAGGCCAAGTGCAGTGGCTGATGCCTGTAATCTCAACATTTTGGGAGGCTGAGGTAGATAGGTTGGGTCTAGGAGTGTGAGACCAGCCTGGGCAACATGGCAAAACCCATGTGGAAATATATATATGTGTTTATTTAATTTGTTTTTTTGAGACAGAGTCTCGCTATGTTGCCCAGTCTGGAGTGCAGTGGCATGATCTTGGCTCACTGTAACCTCCTCCTCCCAGGTTCAAGCAGTTCTCCTGCCTCAGCCTTTTGAGTAGCTAGGATTACAGGCGTGCGCCACCACGCCCAGCTGATTTTTGTATTTTTAGTAGAAATGGGATTTCACCATGTTGGCCAGGCTGGTCTTTAACTCCTGACCTCAGGTGATCCACCCCCCTCAGCCTCCCAAGGTGCTGAGATTTCAGGCGTGAGACACCTTACTCAGCCTGGAACTATATTTCAGGAGGCCAAAATATCCCAGAGCCGTTAAACTCTAGTAATACCACCCTGGTATAATCATAGATTAGATAAAAGACTACTAAAATGCAGTTAGACTTTCAACCAGGGCCAGCTTGATATGGTAATGGAGAGCTATGAAATGTGATTTCAAGTCATCAGGAAGGTCATGTTTTCTTCAAATTGCTTTTATTCACAATTCTTTTTTTTTTTTTTGAGGTGGAGTTTCGCTCTTGTTACCCAGGCTGGAGTGCAGTCGTGCGGTCTCGGCTCACCACAACCTCCACCTCCTGGGTTCAGGCAATTCTCCTGCCTCAGCCTCCTGAGTAGCTGGGATTACAGGCACGTGCCACCATGCCCAGCTGATTTTTTGTATTTTTAGTAGAGACGGGATTTCACCATGTTGACCAGGATGGTCTCGATCTCTTGACCTCGTGATCTACCCTCCTCGGCCTCCCAAAGTGTTGGTATTACAGGCGTGAGCCACCGTGCCTGGCCTCTTTTTTTTTTTTTTTAATTGAGACAGTCTTACTCTATCACCCAGGGTAGAATACTGTGGTACTTATTTTGGCTTAATGCAATCTCTGCCTCCTTGGTCGAAGGGATTATTGTGCCTCAGCCTCCTGAGTAGCTGGATTTATAGGTGTGCACCAGCATAGCTGGCTAATTTTTGTATTTTTAGTAGAGATGGCATTTTACCATGTTGGGCAGGCTGGTCTCAAACTCCTGCCCTCAAGTGATCTGCCCATCTTGGCTTCCCAAAGTAGTGGGATTGTAGGTGAGAGCCACTGTGCCCAGTCCACAACATTTTTTTTTTTTTTTTTGAGATGAAGTTTCGAGATTGTTGCCCTGGCTGGAGTGCAATGGTGTGATCTCAGCTCACTGTAACTTTTGCCTCCCGGGTTCAATTGTTTCTTCTGCCTCAGTCTCCCAAGTAGCTGGAATTACATGTGTACACCACCACACCCAGCTAATGTTTGTATTTTTAATAGAGATGGGGTTTTGCCATGTTGGCCAGGCTGGTCTTGAACTCCTGGCCTTGTCTGATCTGCCCACCTTAGCTTCCCAAAGTGCTGGGATTACCGGCATGAGCCACTGTGCCCAGCCTTGAGTTTTTTTAATTTTATATATTTTATAAGTAAGAACTTTTAGTTTATTAGGTGTCTTAGAGGACTTGAGAAAGCAGCATTGGTCCTTATACCTCTTTTTTTTTTAAGACAGGGTCTTGCTCTGTTACCCAGGCTGAAGTGTAGTAGTACAATTACAGCTCACTGCAACCTCAACTTCCTAGGCTGAAATGATCCCCTACCTCAGTTTCCCAAGTAGCTAGGACTATAGGCATGCACCACCATACTCTGCTAGTTTTAAAATTTTTGTAGAGACAGGGTGGGTGCTGGGATTACAGGTATGAGCCACTGTTACCAGCTCATACCTGTAATCCCAGCACCCACCGCGTCTATACAAAATGTAAATGTATATGGGTCAGTTACATTTTTTATCATGTAAACAATTGAGAGCTCATGCCTGTAATCATAGCACTTAGGGAGGTTAAGGTGGGAGGATCACTTGAATTCAGGAGTTTGAGAACAGCCTGGGGTCACATAGAGATCCCATCTCTATTAAAAACATTTTTTTTGAGACAGAATCGTGCTCTGTCACCCAGGCTGTAGTACAGTGGCACAATATCTGCTCACTGCAGCCCTGCCTCATGGGTTCAAGCATTTCTCCTGCCTCAGCCTCCCAAGTAGCTGGGACTACAGGTGTGTGCTACCATGCCTAGCTAATTTTTGTATTTTTTGTAGAGATGGCGTTTCACCACAATAGCCAGGCTGGTCTCAAACTCCTCTTGATCCACCTGCCTTGGCCTTCCAAAGTGCTGGGATTATAGGCGTGAGCCACAGCGCCCAGCCTATAAAAAATTTTAAAACTAGGAGAGCATAGTGGCATGTGCCTGCATTCCCAGCTACTCAGTAGGCTGAGGTGAGAAGATCACTTGAACCTAGGAGATGGAGGTAATAGTGGGCTATGATCGTGACACTGTAGTCCAGCCTGGGTGACAGAGCAAGAGACCCTGCCTATAGAACAAACAAACAAACAAAAAAAATGAGCATAATATGCATGAACCACAAAGGTGATTATTCAAGACTTTCCTGCCGGGCGCGGTGGCTCAAGCCTGTAATCCCAGCACTTTGGGAGGCCGAGGCGGGTGGATCATGAGGTCAAGAGATCGAGACCATCCTGGTCAACATGGTGAAACCCCGTCTCTACTAAAAATACAAAAAATTAGCTGGGCATGGTGGCGCGTGCCTGTAATCCCAGCTACTCAGGAGGCTGAGGCAGGAGAATTGCCTGAACCCAGGAGGCGGAGGTTGCGGTGAGCCGAGATCGTGCCATTGCACTCCAGCCTGGGTAACAAGAGTGAAACTCCGTCTCAAAAAAAAAAAAAAAAAAAAAAAAAGACTTTCCTAAGCAAGTAATGATTCAGTTCCAAAGTGCCAAATATAGAGTAAAAGTAATAGAAAACTGTTGCAGCTTTTTTGTGAATTTTGATCTGTGATATTCAAGAAACGTTTGAACTGTGAATTTGTTACATTTTTACTTAATCTTCATTGTAAATTATTATTTAGTTTATCATAAGTATTACCCAAAATGATGTTAAATGTTTGTTTTTTTTAAAGACAGGGTTTCACCATGTTGGTCATGCTGGTCATGAACTCCTGACCTCAGGTGATCCGCCCACCTTGGCCTCCAAAGTGCTTGGATTACAGGGGTGAGCCACCACGCCCGGCTGATGTTAAATGTTTTTAATTTACTAACATCAGTGGCTCATTTCTTATATTCAATTTAAAATTTCTATCAGTGTTGGCCCTTAACCTTTGGTTTGCGTCATCCAGAACTTTCATGTATAAATTACCTGTCTCTGAATCTGCTGAGACATTAAAAAGAAACGAAGAAAAAATTTGCCTGTCTCATGAAATTATCTTAAAGCATTAAAAAATAATTTATAGCCAGGCATGATGGCTCACGCCCATAATCCCAGCACTTTGGTAGGCCAAGGCGGGCAGATCACCCGAGGTCAGGAGTTCGAGACCAGCCTGGCCAACATGATGAAATCCTGTCTCTACTAAAAATACAAAAATTAGCCGGGTATGGTGGCATGCTCCTATAATTCCAGCTACTTGGGAGGCTGAGGCAGGAAACTGGAACTTGGGAGATTGCAGTGAACTGAGATTGCACTTGGAATGAACTGAGATTGCACCACTGCACTGCAGTCTGGGCAACAGAGCAAGACTCTGTGTCTCAAAAAATTATAGACTTTTAAACTTAAAAAATTGTTAGAGTTAAGATATTATAGATCAAGGCATCAAATGATTTTGGATAAAACTGCATGTTTTGAACTTGACTTTGATATTATCTTGGCAAAATTCTGTTCTAAAATGTTTCACTTTATTTCTTCAGAGAAGAAAGAGTGAATATGAAGGTTCCCAGAGATATGGATGATGCCAAGGCTCTAGGAAAAGTTTTATCCAAATATAAGGACACCTTTTATGTTCAAGTACTTGTAGCTTATTTTGCTACATATATTTTGTATCCTTTTAACTGAAAAAAATGTTTTCTAATTTTGTCTAAGAAAAAGTTTAAAAGGTCTGGTCTTCGTTTATACATAAGTATTTTCCTTTTAAAATTTGTTACGGCAGTGTAACAATATTAAATAATTGAAAAATTAAAATGGTAAAAAACTATCACTTTAATCCTATTTCCTGAACTAATTGTTTTTATGTCTGAATATTTATTACAAGTTCTTTTGTATTCTGCTTTTTTTGCTTATTAAGCATTTTCCTTTACTGCATATTTTTAAGATATTTATTTTAGGTATTTGATTTATAGTTGTGTTCATTAACTGATGTTAGTTTTAGTTTATATAATTTTTGAATTACTAGTCACCATAGTATTTTTACAGTTCTCTTAGGATTGGAAGTATAATTTATTATTAATTTTTATAGCTGTATATTATGAATCTCTTTTGTTCATTATTTTTTTGTGTCGTTTCCTTTGCAAAAATTCTTAAGATATTTATTCAAAGGTATGAATGTTTTTCACAATTTTTGATATATATTTATTTTATAGAAATATATTTTAACTAGTCAGGAAAATAGTTTTATTTCAAAGTCCTTATGCTGTGTGTGCTTAATTTTGCAAATTGTGGACTTTAATTTTCATTTCTGATTTGCTAATATCTTTTATTCTTATCCAACCTATTTTCCAAATCTTCTCAGTTAATAAAATACATTATCTCTTGATGTTGTAAAAGTAATCATTACCTTTTGTAAACCAACTTTTTTTGTTGTTTTTTGTGTTGGAGTTTCACTCTTGTCACCCAGGCTGGAATGCAATGGTGCAAGCTCTGATCACTGGAATCTCCCCACCTCCTGGATTCAAGTAATTCTCCAGCCTCAACCTCCCAAGCAGCTGGGATTACAGGTGCCCAACACCACGCCCAGCTAATTTTTGTATTTTTAGTGGAGACAGGGTTTCACCATGTTGGCCAGGCTTGTCTTGAACTCCTGACCTCAGGTGATTCACCCACCTCAGCCTCCCAAAGTGCTGGAATTACAGGCATGACCCACCACTCTTGGCCTAAACCAATTTTTTTTTTTTTTTTTTGAGACGGAGTTTCGCTCTTGTTACCCAGGCTGGAGTGCAATGGCGCGGTCTCGGCTCACCGCAACCTCCGCCTCCTGGGTTCAGGCAATTCTCCTGCCTCAGCCTCCTGAGTAGCTGGGATTACAGGCACGCGCCACCATGCCCAGCTAATTTTTAGTATTTTTAGTAGAGACGGGGTTTCACCATGTTGACCAGGATGGTCTCGATCTGTTGACTTCGTGATCCACCCGCCTCGGCCTCCCAAAGTGCTGGGATTACAGGCTTGAGCCACCGCGCCCGGCCGGCCTAAACCAATTTTTATTTTAAAAAGGCAAATAAGGCTGGGTGCGGTGGCTCACACCTGTAATCCCAGCACTTTGGGAGTCTGAGGCAGGCAGATAACGAGGTCAAGAGATCGAGACCATCCTGGCCAACATGGTGAAACCCTATCTCTACTAAAAATATAAAAATTAGCCGGGCGCGGTGGCTCAAGCCTGTAATCCCAGCACTTTGGGAGGCCGAGGCGGGTGGATCACAAGGTCAAGAGATCAAGACCATCCTGGTCAACATGGTGAAACCCCGTCTCTACTAAAAATACAAAAAATTACCTGGGCATGGTGGCACGTGCCTGTAATCCCAGCTACTCAGGAGGCTGAGGCAGGAGAATTGCTTGAACCCAGGAGGCGGAGGTTGTGGTGAGCCGAGATCGCGCCATTGCACTCCAGCCTGGGTAACAAGAGCGAAACTCCGTCTCAAAAAAAAAAAAAAAAAAAAATATATATATATATATATAAATTAGCTGGGCGTGGTGGCACGCACCTGTAGTCCCAGCTACTTGAGAGGTTGAGGTGGGCAGATCACCTAAGGTCAGGAGTTCAAGACCAGCCTGGCCAACTGCAGATGGCAGGTACCTGTAGTCCCAGCCACTTGGAGGTGGGTGGAATTGCTTGAAGTGGGGAGGTGGAGGCTGCAGTGAGCCAAGCTTGTGCCACTGCACTTCAGCCTGGGCAACAGAGCAAGATTCTGTCTCAAAAAAAAAAAAAAAAAAATTTGGAATAATATTATCAGGGCCTGGCATGGTGGCTCATGCCTGTAATCCCAGCACTTTGGGAGGCCAAGGCTGGCAGATCACTGGAGGTCACGAGTTCGAGACCAGCCCGGCCAACATGGTAAAACCCTGTCTCTACTAAAAATACAAGAATTAGCTGGATATGGTGGCACATGCATGTAGTCCCAGCTACTCGGGAGGCTGAGGCAGGAGAATCTCTTGAACCTGGGAGGTGGAGGTTGCAGTGAGCTGAGATCTTGCCACTGCCCTCCAGTCTGGGCAACAAAGGGAGAGTCCGTCTCAAAAAAATTCTTGATATAGACCCAAAATCATTGAAAGATTAAAATTTAGCAGGGTCTTGAAGAGGTATTTATATACTGTGGTCATAGCAGCAACATTCACAATAGCCAAAAGGTATAAGAAACCCCATGTCCTTTGACAAGTTAATGAATAAACAAAATATAATATATACGTACAATGCAGTATTACTTGGCCGTAAAATGGAATGGCCATAAAAGGTAATAAATACTGATGCATGCTACAGCCATGGATTAACCTTAAAACATATTAAGTGAAAGAGGCTAGGCACAAAAGGGCGAATATTGTATTATTCCACTTACATGAGATAGTTAGAAATGAGCAAATTCTTTGAAGAAAAGACTTCAAAGATACCTTTGTTTTTGTTTTTTGAGACAGAATTTTGCTCTGTCGCCCAGCTGAGTGCAATGACATGATCATGGCTCACTGGTACCTAAACCTTCTGGGCTCAAATAATCCTCCTGCCTCAGCTGGGACTACAGGAATGTGTGTGCCAGCACACCTGACTAATTTTTTGTATTTTTTTGTAGAGATCAGATTTCACCATGTTGCCCAGGCTGGTCTCGAACTGGAACTCCTGGGCAATAATATTGTAAAATATTTAAGTATGTGGAAACATTTTAGATAATATTAATAAGAAATGTATAGTATATTTTTTATATATTTACTTTAAAATATATTTTAATAGTATGTAAAGCACAAATCAGTAATTGTGTTGGTGTTATCGAGAACCAAGATTTTTCAGTATAAGAAAAGAGAAATCTAAAGCCGGGCGCGGTGGCTCAAGCCTGTAATCCCAGCACTTTGGGAGGCTGAGGCGGGTGGATCACGAGGTCGAGAGATCGAGACCATCCTGGTCAACATGGTGAAACCCCGTCTCTACTAAAGATACAAAAAATTAGCTGGGCATGGTGGCGCGTGCCTGTAATCCCAGCTACTCAGGAGGCTGAGGCAGGAGAATTGCCTGAGCCCAGGAGGCGGAGGTTGCGGTGAGCCGAGATCGCGCCATTGCACTCCAGCCTGGGTAACAAGAGCGAAACTCCGTCTCAAAAACAAAACAAAACAAAACAAAACAAAAAAAACAAAAAAAAAAAAAAAAAGAAAAGAGAAATCTAAACAGAAAGTTAAGCCCAAGTTACATTCCTATGCAAAGGAAGCATAGTTTTGACTACTACTATAGGTAAAGGACAGAGCATAAACTGCCCTAAGGATCCAATAGGCAAAATTTAATAAACGGTAGATTCTACAAATGATCTGTATTCTTCAGTAAATTGAAAGGAAGAAACAAAAACAAAGACCCTACACTTAAGTGATGTATTGAGCAAGTACTTTGTGTGGACCTTCAGACTCTGATTAGACTAGTCTTTATGACAATAAGGAATTATAGTTCATTTCTTGAAGTCTGACAGTGGTATCATATTTATGATAAAAAGAGAAGGAATTATTTTAATTATATTAAAATAATTGCACATTGAAAAATATGGATTTTTATTTTATTTATTTATTTATTTTTGAGACAGAGTCTTGCTTTGTTGCCAGGTATCAGGTTGGGGTGCAGTGGCGCAATCTCAGCTCACTGCAGCCTCTGACTTCCGGGTTCTTCTAGTGATTCTCCTGCCTCAGCCTCCTGAGTAGCTGGGGATTACAGGCACCCGCTGTCATGTCCAGCTAATTTTTCTATTTTTGTAGAGATGGGGTTTCACCATGTTGGTCAGGCTGGTCTTAAACTCCTGACCTCAGGTGATCTGCCCACCTCACCCTCGCAAAGTGCTGGGATTACAGGTGTGAGCCACCTCGCCCAGGCTTATTTTTATTTTATTTATTTAATTTTGAGACAGAGTCTTCTTCCTCTGTCGCCCAGGCTGGAGTGCAGTGACTGACACAATCTCAGTTCACTGCAATCTCTGCCTCCGGGGCTCAAGTAGTTCTCCGGTCTCAACTTCCAGAGTAGCTGGGACTACAGGCGCATGCCACCACGCCTGGCAGATTTTTGTATGTTTATTTATATTTATTTATTTATTTATTTATTTTGTGGCTGTTGTTTTCTTTTGTTTATTTTTGAGGTTTTTGTATTTTTAGTAGAAATGGGGTTTCACTGTATTGGTCAGGCTGGTTTCGAACTCCTGAATTCAGGTGATTCACCTGGCTCTGCCTCTCAAAGTGCTGGGATTACAGGCATGAGCCACCGCACCTGGCCTTTTTTGTTTTGTTTTGTTTTTTTGAGACAGAGTCTCGTTCTGTTGCCCAGGCTGGAGGGCAGTGGCATGATTTCAGCTCACTGTAACTTCTGCCTCCTGGGTTCAAGTGATTCTTGTGCCCCAGCCTCCTGAATAGCTGGGATTGCAGACATGAGCCACTGTGCACAGCTAATTTTTGTATTTTTAGTAGAGACGGGGCTTGACCATGTTGACCAGGCTGTTCTTGAACTCCTAGCCTCAAGTGATCCACCCTTAGCCTCTCAAAGTGTTGGGATTACAGGCATGAGCCACCGTGCCCAGCCTGAAATATGTTAATATAGGACATTATAACATTAGTTTCTTTACTTTTATATGTGTATGAAACTATCCATAATATGATCTTAACCCAAAAAGTGTGTGTATGTGTGTGTGTTTTGTTTTTAACGGAGATACCTAGGAAACGAGTGGAAAATTTAATGCTGATGACTCAAAGAGTTTCGAGTTATTGGTACTATATGTGGTTGATAATTGAAGCCATGGAAATTGCCAAATTTATCAAAGGAAAGGGAAAGTGCAGCTAACAGAATGTTAGAGAAATTTCATATTTGAAGGCAAAGAGAAAAAAGAAAAACCAGGCCGGGCACGGTGGCTCAAGCCTGTAATCCCAGCACTTTGGGAGGCCGAGGCGGGTGGATCACGAGGTCAAGAGATCGAGACCATCCTGGTCAACATGATGAAACCCCATCTCTACCAAAAATATGAAAAACTAGCTGGGCATGGTGGTGCGTGCCTGTAATCCCAGCTACTCAGGAGGCTGAGGCAGGAGAATTGCCTCAACCCAGGAGGCGGAGGTTGCGGTGAGCCGAGATCGCACCATTGCACTCCAGCCTGGGCAACAAGAGCAGAACTCCGTCTCAAAAAAAAAAAAAAAAAGAAAAGAAAAACCTAAAGAAGAAATTACTTGTAATATAGAAGAAAACTTACAGTTCAGTGAAGCCATGTTTCATGCAGGATGAAGCCTAATCCTATGTAGGGATCACTGAAAGGTGATATTGATAAAAGGTTATTAATATTGGCTGTGAGGAAGTTTCAGTGTCATAGTGGATAGGTAAAGCAGGTTGCAGGGAACAAGGAGAAAATCTCTTCTGAGAAAGTGAAGGTGAGGAGCAATAGCTGGATAGGATATCTTGGTTGAGGAAAGCCTAGATTTGTAAGTTACAGGCAACCGAGTGGTTTTATAGAAGAGAGATCCTGTGAAGGAGAACAGAGTTGAAGGTGAAAAAACAAATGAGAACATGAGTAAAATGGTAACTAGACAAAAAGGAATAATGAATAAAGATAGAAATTTTAAATTAGGCTGGAGAGATGTTGAGGGAATTAACTTTGACTTGTGAGTAAATCATATTAGAGGGGGAAAAAGGAGGTTTAGACCAAAACTGGGAATGATAGAAAAGTTAAAAAAAATTTCTATTTTTTTTTAGACTGAGTTTTGCTATAGCGCAGTCTTAGCTCACTGTAACCTCCCAGGTTTAAGTGATTCTCCTGCCGCTGGGCGCGGTGGCTCAAGCCTGTAATCCCAGCATTTTGGGAGGCCGAGGCAGGTAGATCACGAGGTCAAGAGGTCGAGACCATCCTGGTCAACATGGTGAAACCCCGTCTCTACTAAAAATACAAAACATTAGCTGGGCATGGTGGCACATGCCTGTAATCCCAGCTACTCAGGAGGTTGAGGCAGGAGAATTGCCTGAACCCAGGAGGCGGAGGTTGCGGTGAGCCGAGATCACGCCATTGCACTCTAGCCTGGGTAACAAGAGCGAAACTCCGTCTCAAAAAAAAAAAAAAGAAAGAAAGAAAGAAATTAAGTGATTCTCCTGCCTCAGCCTCCTGAGTAGCTGGGATTACAGGCATGCACCACCATGCCTGGCTAATTTTGTATTTTTAGTAGAGAGGAGGTTTTTCCATGTTGGTCAGGCTGGTCTCGAACTTCCGACCTCGGGTGATCCACCTGCCTCCACCTCCCAAAGTGCTGGGATTTATAAGCATGAGCCACCATGCCCAGCCAAAAATAATTCTTTATTTTATTTATTTATTTATTTTTTTGAGACAAAGTTTTGCTCTGTCACCAGACTGGAGTGTAGTGGCGTGATCTCAGCTCACTGCAACCTCCGCCTCCCAGGTTCAAGTGATTCTTCTGCCTCAGCCTCCTGAGTAGCTGGGACTACAGGCACATGCCACCATGCCGGGCTAATTTTTGTGTTTTTAGGAGAGACAGGGTTTTCGCCATGTTGGCCAGGATGGTATCAATCTCATGACCTCGTGGTCCACCTGCCTCTGCCTCCCAAAGTGCTAAGATTACAGGCGTGAGCCACTGTGCCCAGCCAAATCTATTTCAAACACAAGATTTGTGGCCCGGGCATCATGGCTCATGTCTGTAATCTCAGCACTTTGGGAGTCCAGTGTGGGAGGGTTGCTTGAGCCCGGAGTTCAAGAGTAGCCTGGGCAACATAGCCAGACCTCATCTCTACAAATAATAAAATTGATGTAGTGACATGCATGCCTGTGATCCCAGCTACTCGCAAAGCTGATGTGGGAGAACTGCTTGAGCCTGGGCAGTTGAGGCTGCTGTGAGCCATGATATGCCACTGCATTCCAGCCTGGGCAACAAAGCAAGATCCCAAAAATAAATAAGATATGTGACTTTTACTATGTAACTTTTACTATATTTTGTAATTTCTTATTTTCATATTTTTTCCCTCTTGTAATTCCTATTCATTTAAAATGACTAGTGAATTTAGGTAAATATTCATAATTAACTTAGAAATAATTATATGTGGCCAGGCGCGGTGGCTCACACCTGTAATCCCAGCACTTTGGGAGGCCGAGACAGGTGGATCACGAGGTTAAGAGATCAAGACCATCCTGGTCAACATGGTGAAACCCCGTCTCTACTAAAAGTACAAAAATTAGCTGGGCATGGTGGCGCATGCCTGTAGTCCCAGCTACTTGGGAGGCTGAGGCAGGAGAATTGCTTGAACCCAGGAGACGGAGGTTGCGGTGAGCCGAGATGGCGCCATTGCACTCCAGCCTGGGTAACAACAGCGAAACTCCGTCTCAAAAAAAAAAAAAAAAAGAAAAGAAAAAAAGAAAAAAAAAATAATTATATGTATATGATTTCCCTGAAAATATTTGGGAATAAAATGTATTAGAGGAGCATTAAAAGATTATGGAAGACCTTTTCTCTTTTGTTTTTTCCCTTCCCCAAAGTGCCCATTTCCTCTCTATCTAGAACACATTGGATTTTTGTCTAGGAAACCTTTTAGCAACACACACTTACTAGTATATATGGTACTGTTTAGTTAATGGTCAACTTAGAGGCACTACAGCTCAAGAGTTGTATATTTTTTAAATGTTTGAATATTATTCATTACATGATAATTTCTGTATTTAGACTTTTTTTCCTGAAATGTTACATTTGTCTTTTAAAATTCACCTAATTATGTTCTAATCCTTAACTTAGAAGTTACCAGCTTGCAAACATTTGCTATTCCAGGCTCCATATTTCTCAGTATACTCTCAGGGTTTCTTTATCCCTTTCCACTAGCCTTATTTCTTGTTTGTTTGGTAAGTATAAAAAAATAAAATTGGGAGACTGAAAAAAAAAACAATAGAATGATGAAGATGATAATGATAGTTTAATACCACTAGTCTATGTAAGAGTAAACTTACTAGTTTAAGAGGAGTTCATGTTAAAGTCCCTCCACATGGAAGTGTTATAATTTGTTTTCCCCCTAGAACAGACAAGTTATAGACTTAGTTGCATTTATAAACTGTGTTTTAGCTTTTCTTTCCTATTGGGTTTTGTAACTGGTACAGTCCAAAGAGTGTTGGTGAGCACACTGAGTTAAGTCCCAAGGCCAGAGGTGGTGTTTTCAAGCTTAGAAATTGGTGGGGAGAAAATTGGCTCCTGAAATTTTATTCTTAGGTTAAAGCCTAGCATTAATTATTTGGATATAGTCACTAGGTGTAGTCACAAGTGCCAGTTTGTTTTAGCCAATCTCATATGAGTTATAATTTGGTCTGAGAAAGTCCAATAGGTGTCATGCAGAGTGCCCTCCCTGCCTCTGAAAGAAGTAATGAGCTTTTATTCAGGTGAATATATCCATGTGAATAAGATGGAAAAATGCAAAATGCTTATGGCTTCTTGTTGTTTTCCAGTGTTCTGGACTTGGTGCCTCTTTTTGTTACATGCTTTCCTATTTAGTCGGGAGACCAGTTGTATATAAATACCTAACAGAAAAAGCAGTAAAATGGTCACAGCAGGTAAACATGTATTTTTAAATTATTTGATATAACTCTTTGTTAATTGGGAGGTCAGTATTTAGTCCCTACACGAATTAACTACATGTATTAACCCAACATAAATTAACTCCTAAGCTAACTCAATTAATAAGAATTATCTTCTGACCAAATAAAAATAGGTGGTAGGCAAATATGAATGTTAATAATATTTAATACAAATGTTTTAAACCTGTGATGGTAATTTTAATTCTTTTGTTTTGTTTTGTTTAGTTTTGTTTTGAGAAGGAGTTTCACTCTTGTTACCCAGGCTGGAATGCAATGGCGCGATCTCGGCTCACCGCAACCGCCGCCTCCTGGGTTCAGGCAATTTTCCTGCCTCAGCCTCCTGAGTAGCTGGGATTACAGGCACCCGCCACCATGCCCAGCTAATTTTTTGTATTTTTAGTAGAGACGGAGTTTCACCATGTTGACCGGGATGGTCTCGATCTCTTGACCTCATGATCCACCCGCCTCAGCCTCCCAAAGTGCTGGGATTACAGGCGTGAGCCACCACGCCCGGCCTAATTTTAATTCTTTATGCTAGTTAAGTTCAATCAGTGGAGAAGTCAAAGTGTCAATATAAAGGCATACACATAAGATACCTGTTTTATGTGGATGCAGCATGCTGTGCATGTTATCAAAAAACTTGTATCTGCTAACTCCTAATGCATTTTTTTTCTTTTCTTTTTTTTTTGAGATGCAGTCTCGCCCTGTCACCCAGGCTGGAGTGTAGTGATGCAGTCTTGGCTTACTGTAACCTTTGCCTCCTGGGTTTAAGCAATTCTCGTGCCTCAGCCTCCCAAGTAGCTGGGATTATAGACATACACCACCATACCTGGCTAATTTTTTGTATTTTTAGTATAGACAGGGTTTCACCATGTTGGCCAGGCTGGTTTCGAACTCCTGACCTCAGGGTGATCCACCTCAGCCTCCCAAAGTGCTGGGATTGCAGGCGTGAGACACCACCTGCCTTTTTTTGGATCATTTCTATTGGGTATACTCTGAAGTATCAGGAATGAGAATTTGAAATAAGGTGTTTATATTAAGCAACTTATTTTTGAAGTTGTCCTTATCTGATGCTAATTCTTTTCTTTCTTATGACAGGTTGAACGTCATAGAGAACATCTCATTAACTACATTATATTTTTGAGAATAACACCATTTCTGCCTAATTGGTTTATTAATATCACATCTCCTGTGATAAACGTGCCATTGAAAGTTTTTTTTATTGGTACTTTTCTAGGTAAGGTCTTGCTGTGTGTGAGCTGTGTGCACATCTAACAGTGTCCAGCTGGACTAGATTGCATGCATGTTCTCTGCAGATATGCCAGTATTATCTAGAACTCTTAGGCACAAAGCCTGGCTGTATAAATAGATGCTCAGAAGTGTTTGTTGCATTATGTTGATTTAGGTTATTTTTGTGTCGCCTCTTTAAAGAGGAGCACTTTTTACTCTATATCGTCTTAATAATACAGGGTTAAGCAGGACCTTTACCTCCAGTTGCTCTAAGTAGAGAGGAAAAAAAAATTTGCCTTTTTTGAGTAATTTTCTCCCGTGTGTTTTCTTTTTTTTAAATGTTGCTTTGGCAAAATATTTCCTTTGTTTTCTAATCAAGTATTAAAATGTTAAACTTGAATTTTCAGTAAAGAAGTGATCCTTTTTTTTTTTTTTTTTTTTGAGATGGAGTTTCTCTCTTGTTGCCCAAACCGGAGTGCAACCGTGTGATCTCAGTTCAGTGCAGCCTCACCTCTGCCTTCTGGGTTCAAGCGATTCTCCTGTCTCAGCCTCTTGAGTAGCTGGGATTATGGGCATGGGCCACCACGCCCAGCTAATTTTTTGTATTTTTAGTAGAAATGGGGTTTCACCATGTTAGCCAGGCTGGTCTTCAACTCCTGACCTCAGGTGATCCACCTGCTTCCCCCTCCCAAAGTGTTGGGATTACAGGCATGAGCCATCATGCCTGGCCCTTATTTTTCCTTTTATTGAAACCAGCATTGGTTCTTTGTAGGAGTGTTTTGCATTTCTTTCCAATTAGAGTTGAATTGTTTCGATGTCAAAAAATGAGCTGATTTCTTACATATTGAATACCTATTAAAGCTTAAGTTAATACTTGTAAGAACATATGTTTTTGAAAAGAAAAACCAAAATCAATTATTTATTGCTATTTATTGACAAACTTACATCAGCATGGAGAATTTTTAATTTTGTTAAATGTCATATCCATAGAATCTAAAGAGAATTTTTGTTTCCGTCTCCATTTTACAGGTGAAATCCAGATATTTAATTTCAGCTTTGGCTAAAGTAATTTTTTTCCATTTGTTTTGATTTCTTTTTTCTTTTTTTTTTTTTTTTTTGAGACGGAGTTTCGCTCTTGTTACCCAGGCTGGAGTGCAATGGCGCGATCTCGGCTCACCGCAACCTCCGCCTCCTGGGTTCAGGCAATTCTCCTGCCTCAGCCTCCTGAGTAGCTGGGATTACAGGCACGCACCACCATGCCCAGCTATTTTTTTTGTATTTTTAGTAGAGACGGGGTTTCACCATGTTGACCAAGATGGTCTCGATCTCTTGACCTTGTGATCCACCCGCCTTGGCCTCCCAAAGTGCTGGGATTACAGGCTTGAGCCACCGCGCCCGGCCATTTGTTTTGATTTCTAATGAAATGCAATCATTCTGTATGTACTTTTGTATATACTGCTCTTTTTACTCACACTTTGAGTATCTTTCCGTGTTACATCTCCTACTACTTCAAACTATCTGTCAGGGATAAATGACAGTCTACTCAACCTTATTTTTGAACATTAAGATTGTTTCCAGATGTTTATTTTATACCTCATAGACATTATTATTTCCTAAACTTGAAATTACTAGAATGGAGCACATTTTTTTTTTTTTTTTTTTCTTTTTGAGACAGGAGTCTCTTTCTGTCACCCAGGCTGGACTGCAGAGGCACAATGTCAGCTGACTGCAACCTCCGCCTCCTGGGTTCAAATGATTATTTCTTCTGCCTCAGCCTTCTGAGTAGCTGGGATTACAGGTATGTGCCACCATGCCCAGAAAATTTTTGTATTTTTAGAAGAGACAGGGTTTCACCATGTTGGCCAGGCTGGTCTCTAACTCCTGACCTCAAGTGATCTGCCAGCCTTGGGCTCCCAAAGTGTTGGGATTACACGCATGGGCCATGGTGCCGAGTCTTTTTTTCTTTTAAGGTTTTCTATAGGCTGGTTGCTGTGGCTTACGCCTGTAATCCCACCACTTTGGGAGGCCGAGGCAGGTGAATTGCTTGAGCCTGGGAATTAGAGACCAGCCTGGGCAATATGGCAAAACCCTGTCTCTTGACAAAAAAATACAAAATTGGCTGGGTGTGGTTGCACACACCTGTAGTCTCAGCTGCTCAGAAGGCCAAGGTGGGAAGATCACCTGAGCCTGGGGAGACTGATCCTGCAGTGAGTGGTGATTGCGATGCTGCACTCAAGCCTATGTGACAGAGTCAGACTGTCTAAGGGGGAAAAATAACATTTTTGATAAATGTAAAATTCTCTGGGTACTTTTCTTGAGTTTTTAAAATATATTATACTTGAGGTGATTATGAAAGATTGAATTCTTTATATGGAAATAAATGAGCTTTAAATTCTTATTTTTTTTTTTCTAAAATGAAATAGCTATATTAAGAAACTTTATGCACACAGAAAATTTTAATTTTTAAAAACAATTGGTGGTTTTTACTGCATGTTTTTATTTTTTATTTCAGGTGTCGCACCGCCTTCTTTTGTAGCCATTAAGGCAGGAACAACACTGTACCAACTTACAACAGCAGGGGAAGCTGTTTCCTGGAACTCAATATTTATTCTGATGATCTTGGCTGTTCTTTCTATTCTGCCAGCCATCTTCCAAAAAAAACTAAAGCAGAAATTTGAGTGAAAAAAATCATCTGATTTTTAGTTTTGCTGTCATCACCATCTCAGGATTAACAGGTGCATCCATTTATGTTTTTAAATCACCTCTTCAGTAATTAAAACAAGGAGTTTGTAAAATAAAATTTCCTAGCAGAGTTAAAATAAAACATTTAAGTGACAAGGGGAGAAGAAAGTAAAAATGGAAATTGGTATACTATGAAAAGTGCTATCGATAGTTAACATAGACATCTTAGACATCTTCTAAAATACTATACCAATGGTAGCTATAGATAATAGTAGTGTGGTAGGAAATTGTTGATCCAGCTAATTCATCCAATTTAATATTTTTCTCTTACTGTTAATAACTGAAATAGCTATTTTTTAATTCTAGATCTACCCACCTCAATCTCCCGTAGTGCTGGGATTACAGGCATGAGCCACCGCACCTAGCCTGGTATTGATAATTTATACTCAGATAATTCATTACAGTTCTTTAATATTTCAAAAGGGGCTCTAAAAAGCAAACACTCAAGAGTATGTAGTTTTTAGACATTAAGTTATTTTATATTTTAAACAGTGGCAACAAAACAAGTAGTTAAATATAGTTTATTTGTTCCAATGACTGTAAATTTTGCCTCCTTTATTAATCTGTTAAGGAATATATTTAATATTATGTAATTAGGCCGGGCGCGGTGGCTCAAGCCTGTAATCCCAGCACTTTGGGAGGCCGAGGCGGGTGGATCACGAGGTCGAGAGATCGAGACCATCCTGGTCAATGTGGTGAAACCCCATCTCTACTAAAAATACAAAAAAATTAGCTGGGCATGGTGGTGTGTGCCTGTAATCCCAGCTACTCAGGAGGCTGCGGCAGGAGAATTGCCTGAGCCCAGGAGGCGGAGGTTGCGGTGAGCCGAGATAGCGCCATTGCACTCCAGCCTGGGTAACAAGAGCAAAACTCCGTCTCAAAAAAAAAAAAAAAAAAAAAAAAAAAATATTATGTAATTATTCTTTTTATGCATGAAACACCTAAAAAAAAAAAAAGCCTTCTGTTTCTATTGATGGCTTTTTTCTTTGGAGCTGTTTTTGATTACTTATTGCAGTTTTCCAATTTTGTTTTTTTACTTTTTCTAACTCACAAAGTAAAATTAACTTCTCACATGGCAACTACTATATTTAAGTAGTCCTGGAAGGCTGGGCGTGGTGGCTCACGCCTCTAATCCCAGTACTTTGTGGGTGCCGAGGCGGGCGGATCACGAGGTCAAGAGATCGAGACCAACCTGGCCAACCTGGTGAAACCCTGTCTCTACTAAAAAGACAAAAATTGCCGGGCGCGGTGGCTCAAGCCTGTAATCTCAGCACTTTGGGAGGCCGAGGCGGGTGGATCACGAGGTCGAGAGATCAAGACCATCCTGGTCAACATGGTGAAACCCCGTCTCTACTAAAAATACAAAAAATTAGCTGGGCATGGTGGCGCGTGCCTGTAATCCCAGCTACTCAGGAGGCTGAGGCAGGAGAATTGCCTAAACCCAGGAGGTGGAGGTTGCGGTGAGCCAAGATCGCGCCATTGCACTCCAGCCTGGGTAACTAGAGCGAAACTCCGTCTCAGGAAAAAAAAAAAAAAAAAAAAAGACAAAAATTAGCTGGGCGTGGTGACACGCACCTGTGGTTCCAGCTACTTGGGTAGCTGAGGCTGAAGAATCTCTTGAACCCAGGAGGTGAAGGTTGCAGTGAGCCGAGATTGCACCACTGCACTCCAGCCTGGCGATAGAGCAAGACTCCGTCTCAAAAAAAAAAGTTCTGGAAAATGAAAGTGCTTTTTGCTGCTTGGTTAATGGGTAATGCCCTTGATTCCTTGATTCTTGAATATAGCTAATCTAAAGTACTCTTGTCAGTTTTACCTTCACCCACAACTGTCAGTATGTTGAAAAGTACTTTAGCTGTGTGAAATCCTTGTATGTTTTTATTTTGAGAGGTATAATCATCCTCAAAGCCTGTTTTTACTACATAATGTGGACTGATTCATTATTTTTTCTATCACAGTATTAACAGATGGATTTTATTGTAAATACAAAGAAAATATATAGATTATTATAGTATTCTTATGTCATCTGGCCTTTTGTGTGAGATTATTTATTATTTCTAGCAAGGCTTTCTTTCTTATTGCCCAGAGACTGAGTGATGAATCTTTTGTTATTTTTACAAATAAATTAAAACATAGCCTTTTTGGACAAATTCGCTAAATATTACTGTATAAAATGTAATTGGGTAAATTTTTCTCAGAATTTTAAAAATAAAAGAACTTAGACTCAGTAGAAGTGTCACTATTTACTCCAGCGTGTGTAAATTGTATTTACTCTATTCTCAGAGTGTATTTCCTGTCCTTACCAGTGATTCTTTCCCTTTGCTAATTTTTTTTTTTTGGTAGAAAATTGTAGCTGCAACTTTAGGTGGGGTGTATTTTCTTCTAAGAGAATAGACAGTTTTTCTGGATTCATCATTATTGACTGTCAAGAAAGGACCCTTCAACAGGCTGTACCCACAGTGCAGTTGATGGCCTGTCTTTATGGATTCACAGACTTGGCCTGATGCTACATGTAAATTCCAGCTTTGGCTTGACAATTATATGGTAACAGCCACATGAAAGCAAACATCTGTGATGCATAGACAAGCAGGCTAAGTAGAAGTTGACATGCTGAGAAAGTGAAACTGTTCTTTCTTAGTTAATGGTCTTTCTCTGGAGCTCTGTTACTTTGAGTATAATATTTCCATGACTCTTAGTAAATGCAAGCTAAAATGTAATAATAAATAATAAATTGTATTGGAGAAACCTAAATGTCACATTTGGGATTTATTTTCATGGAAGTACTTGGATTAAAAAACCTTGGCCGGGCACAGTGGCTTACACCTATAATCCCAGCACTTTGAGAGGCCAAAGTGGGCAGATCACCTGAGGTCACAAGTTCGAGACCAGCCTGGCCAACATAGCGAAACCCCATCTCTACTAAAAATATGAAAAATTGCCGGACGCGGTGGCTCAAGCCTGTAATCCCAGCACTTTGGGAGGCCGAGGCGGGTGGATCACGAGGTCGAGAGATCGAGACCATGCTGGTCAACATGGTGAAACCCCATCTCTACTAAAAATACAAAAAATTAGCTGGACATGGTGGCGCGTGCCTGTAATCCCAGCTACTCAGGAGGCTGAGGCAGGAGAATTGCTTGAACCCAGGAGGCGGAGGTTGCGGTGAGCCAAGATTGTGCCATTACACTCCAGCCTGGGTAACAAGAGCTAAACTCCGTCTCAAAAAAAAAAAAAAAAGAAAAATTAGCCAGGTGTGGTGGTGCACACCTGTAGTCCTAGCTACTTAGGAGGCTGGGGCACGAGAATCACTTTAATGTAGGAGCTGAAGGTTGCGGTGAGATGAAATTGTGCCACTGTACTCCAGCCTGGGTGACAGAGCAAGACTCTGTCTCCAAGCAACAACAATAACAAACTCTTCATTGAATAAAATAATATTTTTAAATTCTGATGTACATTTTCTTTTTTTTTTTTTTTTTTTTTTTTTTTTGAGACGGAGTTTCTCTCTTGTTACCCAGGCTGGAGTGCAATGGCGCGGTCTCGGCTCACCGCAACCTCCGCCTCCTGGGCTCAGGCAATTCTTCTGCCTCAGCCTCCTAAGTAGCTGGGATTACAGGCATGCGCCACCATGCCCAGCTAGTTTTTTGTATTTTTAGTAGAGACAGGGTTTTACCATGTTGACCAGGATGGTCTCGATCTCTCGACCTCGTGATCCACCCGCCTCAGCCTCCCAAAGTGCTGAGATTACAGGCTTGAGCCACCGCGCCCGGCCTGATGTACATTTTTACCACTAAGAACAATGAAATGGCCAGCCATGGTGACTCACGCCTACAATCCTAGCACTTTGAGAGGCCAAGGCGGGTGGATCACCTGAAGTCAGGCGTTTGAGACTAGCCTGGCCAATGTGGCGAACCCTGTCTCTACAAAAAATACATAAATGAGTGTGATAGTGTATGCCTCTAATCCCAGTTACTTGGGAGACTGAGGCAGGAGAATTGCTTGAACCCAGGAAGTAGAGGTTGCAGTGAGCTGAGATTGCACCAGTGCACAACAGCTTCCGTGACGGAGCAAGACTCCGTCTCAAAAAAAAAAAAAAAAAAAAAAAAAAAAAAAAAAAAAAAAAAAATTTAAAAAACTTAATGGTTGGCTTTTGAGAATTCTAAAACAATTGTTTAAATTGCTAAGATAAGGCCGTGCACAGTGACTCACGCCTTTAATCCCAGCACTTTGGGAGGCCAAGGTGGGAAGAGTACCTGAAGTCAGGAGTTCGAGACCAACCTGGTCAACATGGTGAAACCCTGTCTTGGGATTTTCCCAAGACATCAGACATTCCCCTCTCCCTTAAAACAAAACAAAACAAAAGGCCAGACGCAGTGGCTCATGCCTGTAATCCCAGCATTTTGGGAGGCCGAGGCGGGTGGATCACCTGAGGTTGGGAGTTCAAGACCAGTCTGACCAACATGGAGAAACCCTGTCTTTCTTTTTTTGTTGTTTGTTTGTCTGTGAGCTCACAAAGGGAAGAGAAACCCTGTCTCTAACAAAAAAAAAGAGAGAGAGAAACCCTGTCTCTACTAAAAATACAAATAAGTGGTGAACATGGTGGTGAACACCTGTAGTCCCAGCCATTCCAGAGGCTGAGGTAGGAGAATCACTTGAACCTGTGAGGTGAAGGTTGCGGTGAGCTGAGATAGTACCACTGCACTCCAACAAGACCCTGTCTCTAAATAAATGGTTGAGGTAAGTAAACATTGCTGGTACATATAGTGATTTCTTTGTAAAGGAATCTTTTTAAAGTTCTCTGGTTTCTTGAAAATGAGTATAATTGGCTGGGTGCAGTGGCTCAGGCCTGTAATCTCACACTTTGGGAGGCCGAGGTGGGCAGATCACAAGGTCAGGAGATGGAGACCATTCTGATGAACACAGTGAAAGTTCATCTCTACTAAAAATACCAAAAAATTAGTCAGGTGTGGTGGCACGCACCTGTAGTCCCTGTTAGGAGGCTGAGGCAAGAGAATTTCTTGAACCCTTGAAGTGGAGGTTGTAGTGAGCCAAGGTCGTGCCACTGCACTCCAGCCTGGGAGACAGAGCAATACTCCATCTCAAAAAATAAACTACCCCCAAATTAGTTTTAGGACATTATACTATTAAAGCAGGGTGAGGGAATACATTGTTCCTTTATTTTGTATATCTTACATGGGAAACTAGCCATATTTTAATACTGTCTCAACTTTCTAGGTTAAATCTGTAAAAACCCATCATGAGTCATTGGAAGATGGTGTTTTTGCCCATCATTAACTGACACTACTAAAAGCATATTCT